ACCCCAACCCCCGTCCCAGCCCTGAGCTCCCCCCAAACCAATAGCCCCCTCCTGCACCCCAAATCCCTCATCCCTGGCCCCACCTCAGAGCCTGAACCCGCAGCCCAGAGACCTGACCCCCTCCCACACCCCAACCCCATGGCCCAGCCCAGAGCCTCCTCCCACACCCTGAATCCCTCATTCCTGGCCCCACCATGCTGCCCTCACCCCCACACCCCAACCCTCCTGCCCCGGCCCTCCAGCCCCTCCCACACCCCAAACCCCTCATCCCCAGCTCTGTTGGGTCGCGGACATCAAAAATTTTCTTCAACTGGGTCGCCAGAAAAAAAGTTTGAAAACCCCTGCATTAGACCGCTACAGCTCCAGGGTACACATGCAGAGCGACATTTGCAAAGCAAAAGCAGCCGTTCTCCAAAGGCAGAATCAATGGGGGTAATATCCAAGAGTAGAAATACGGGAGGCGTATGCCAGGAACACACTAGATGGCTACAAATCCATCCGTCCAACGATCATGCGAACAGCACCACAGCAGGATCTGCCACGATACTGCAGGGTCACACTGAATGCATGACAGGGTAAAGCAGGGGTGGGAACTGGATGGATGAAGGGAGGGTCCAAAGCCCGAAGAGGAATGAGGGTGGAAATTGGCTAGCAATGGGCTAGCCTGCTATGGATTCATGCACAGAACAGACACACTAACAGGTTATCTTCCCACAGGAAGATGTACAAAACTTGCATCTGAAGAAGTGAGGTTCTTACCCACGAAAGCTTATGCTCCCAGTACTTCTGTTAGTCTCAAAGGTGCCACAGGACCCTCTGTTGCTTTTTTAAAACGAAAACAATCTCTCACCCAGTGCAAGATGAGGGACTTTAAAGGTTAGGGTTAAAGTTAGGGTTGGGGGTAGAATATAGATTATCTTTAGGTGTAGGGTGAGCATAACTGTTAACTTGAAGGTCAAGGGTGAGGGTTATTGGTGGGGTACAGCAAGATTTAGTGATTGTGTTAGGGTTAAGGTCAGTTAAGTTTCATGGTGAATAGGGACGGGTTAAAGTGTTAGTGTTAAGGTTGTGTTAGGGTTAGAATTAAGGGTTAGGGTTAAGTGTAAAGGTTCGATTTAGGTAGGTTTGGAAGGATTCAGTTTTGATTGGTGAATGTCAATTTCAGCATGCACGCACAAACTGAAGACAAAACATTTCTACTGATAATAATGGAAATTTACATATAGGTAACGTAAGAAAAGTGCGGCTTGAGAACGTATGGTAGTCACACCTTAATGTGTATAAAGCAGGTGGTCATGAATGCTACATAAAGCATGTATTTACAGTTCTGCTAAAACAGCTGGTGCTGCATTACCGGAGCACGTGCTGCAGATAATTATGCAGTGATCATAAAGCTTTCACTTTTTGAATCTTACGATCTACTGGAATTAAATAATTATTGTCTGACTCTCCCCCTATAATTTCCCACAACTGTGAAAATTTAAATGGATAAAAATGGGGGGAAATGCTTAAAAATAAACATTGATATCGTCCATCTACATTATTTTTAAAAAATCAAATTCTGCCAAGCCTAAATGTGATCAGGGACCGTAAAGGTTAGGACTGGGGTTAGGGTTAGGGCATAGTGTTATCTTTAGGTGGAGGGTGAGCATAACTGTTAACCTGAAAAAACAACGAGGAGTCCTTGTGGCACCTATGACTTCTTGTCAACTGTTTGAAATGGGCCACCTCAATTACATTGATCTCATTAGCACTACAAAAGTGATTTTTTCCGCCCTTCTTGTCAACTGTTGAAAATAGCCCACTTCCACCTTAATTGAATTGGCTCATTAGCACTGAGCCCCCACTTGGTAAGGCAACTCCTATCTTTTCATATGCTGTGTATTTATACCTCTCTACCGTATTTTTCACTCCATGCATTTGATGAAGTGGGTTTAGCCCACAAAAGCTTATGCCCAAATAAATCTGTTAGTCTCTAAGGTGCCACAAGGACTCCTCATTGTTTTTGCTGATACAGACTAACACAGCTACCACTCTGAAACCTGTTAACCTGAAGTTTAAGAAAGAGGGTTATTGGTAGGGGGTAAGGTTAGGGTAAGTGTTAGCATTACCCTAACACTTGTTCGAGGTTAAGGTTGTGTTAGGGTGAGAATTCAGCAGTAGGGTTGAGTTTAAGGGTTAGATTCACTGTTGAAAGTTAAGATTAGTGGTTAGCGTGAGGGTTAAATTTAAGGGCTAGAGATAAGATTAAGGCTAAAGGTTAGGAGTAAGGGTTAGTGTATAGTTTTAGCTTTAGCAGTAGGGTGAGTATTTAGGGTTAATTTTTAGGATTAAATTTAGGGTTAATTTTTAGGATTGAGGCTGGGGTCAGGGATATGTTTAGGGTTAAGGGTATATCGGGATAGAGAGCTAGATTTTTATTTAGATTAACATTGCAGTTAAAGTAGGGTTAGGATTCAGAGTATAGCAGGGGTATAATGCTAGATTTTGATTTACGGTTAGTGTTGCAGTTAAAAATAAGGTTAGGGTTAGGAGTATAACGGGTATAGTGCTAGATTTTGACTTACGGTTAGCAATGCTGTTAACAGCAAGGTTAGGTTTATGGTTATGATTAATGTTATAGCAGGGGTACAATGCTAGATTTTGATTTAGGGCTAGCATTGCTGTTAACAGTAGGGCTAGAGTTATGGTTAAGGGTATAGTGGGATATAGTGATAGATTTTGATTTAGGGTTAAGGTCAAGAGTTAAGTTTTATGGTTAATAGTTAAGGATTAATAGTTAGGTTTAAGGATTATGTTGGAGATAAGGTTGTGTTAGGTTTAGAATTAAGGGTTAAGGGTTAGGGTTAAATTTAAAGATTAGATCAGGGACCATAGAAGTTAGGGTAGGGGTGGGAGTTAGAGAATGGTGTTATCTTTAAGTGTAGGGTGATCATAACTGTTAATCTGAATTTTAAGGATAAGTGTTATTGGCAAGGGGAAAGGAGAGGGGTACGTTTAGTGTTGGGGTAGGGTTAAGGGTTAGGGGTTAAGGTTAATATTATGGTAGAATTATGCCCCAAAGCTGTTTTCCAATCACCATCCGGGGGAGCCCTAGAACCTCCTCCCCCTTAACCCCCAAAGTCCTACCATTTTCCCACAGCCCACATTCACCCCCTCACCTCCGTACTGAGTGTCACCCCAGCCGGTCACCCAGCACTCCATGCCCGCGGGGAACTCCACAGAGGAGGCCGGAAGGCAGATGGGGCGGATAACTCTGTTGAAGTTCACAGGGGTTTCCAGCTCCACCAGTGCGATGTCACCGCTGGACCCGATATCAGTGTAGCTGGGATGGCGGTAAATCTCCTTGATGGGAAAAGATACCAGACTTTCAGAGGGGTTCTGGAGCTGATATTCCCCTAGGTTCACATGATAGGCAGACTTGTCCCTGCAAGATACAAGAGGAATATAAAGGTGGTTCACCCAGCAATCAGATGCAGCCAACTCTGGGGTGGGGCAGCTGGGAACCAGCTGTACAACTGATGGGGATGGCTAGCCTGAGGCTGAGATGCAGCTGCCTCTGGGACAAGCTGGGGAACAGCAGCCCATAACACCACACAGGGATGGCTCGCCTGGCAATGAGATGCAGCCGTCTCTGGGGTGGGACAGCTCAGGAGTGGCCGTACAGTGACGCCTCAGGGGGATGGTTCACCTGGCACTGAGAAGCAGCTGCCTCTGGGACGTGGCAGTTGGGGAACAGCCGCACAGTGATGGCTCCCGCCTGGGTTACTCACCCATTGAAGCAATGAGCTGCTGACACCACCCAGCTCTCGGCAATGAGGGACCCTCCGCAGATATGGTTGCTGCCTTCACGGATGCTGACCTGCCAGGGCCAGGACCCATTCTTGGCATCATTACCCCCCACAATGCGGGGAGATCCCATTGGCTGCTCACAAGCTGAGGAGAAAGGTGGGGAGCAGAGTGAATAGAACCCAGGAGTCGTGGCTCCCAGCCACCGCTGCTCTAACCCACTAGATGTCACTCCCCTCCCACACCCAGGGCTAAATCCCAAGAGTCCTGGCTCCTGGTTGCCTGGCACATAACCTCTATCCTGTCTTCCCTCCCCATCCTCTGTCTCCCCACCCATGAGGTCTCAATTCCAAGGGCTGTTTCCCAGGTGCCCAGCCAACCACTCACCTTCCAGCAAGGGCAGCTCCTGCAGCAGCCGAAAGACTAGCAGACAGCTTAGACCTCTCATGCCCCACATTCCTCCAGATGCACCTGGCTTCAGCGGTGTCTGGGACAGAATCCTGAATGTGAAAGGGAAAGTTGCGGGGGGGAGAAAATACAGATACCCCGGCAGTTTCGTAAATAGAAGTATGAAAACAAAGCGCAGGTGGTGAAAGGTGACAAAAGGAACTCCTCTTCCAAGAGCCGGGGAGAGAACCCAGGAGTCCTGGCTCCCAGCTTCCCCTCCTCTAGCCCACTAGACTTTACTCCCCTTCAAGAGCTGGGCATAGAACCCAGGAGTCCTGGACTCCCCCCCCCCCCGCCCCGTTCTAACCCACCAAAGGTCATTCACTGGGTTATTTCCTGCTTTCATTCTCACTCCATTAAACCTGAAACAGTTTCCTGTTCCAAGCAAATACAAGGTTTAATATTTAAACCCAGGTGGAGTTGTATTCCTATGATAGCCACAAGCTCTGCTCAGTCCTGTCCCACAGCCCCCTGCTATCCCAGCCCGGGGCTTCCAGTCGTGTGATCTCCGGGTGCGTATATTCAATGACCCTTCGCTACTTCTATCTAGTCCCCTCGCTTCAGGTTGGTGCTTCCCCTACAGCCAGAAAGCCATCTACTGTGAATCTGTGCTCACCTGTTCAATACCGTTAATCTATAGGAGAGGAGTGGGAGCTAGTGGGTTGGAGGAGGGGGTGATGAAATTCAGGACTCCTGGGTTCTATCCCAGCTGCCATCTGCACCTCTCAGAATTTACCTGCCTTGTAGTTTTATAGCTCTGTTTATGAATGTGACGTGTAGCCTCCTAATTACAGCCGGTGACTTTGCCCTCCCGGTCTGGGCTTTGGTCCCAGCCCTCGGAGGAGCCGGCTGGAGTTGGGGAAACCGTATCATGGGTGTTCTCAGCGGCCCGCTGGCCGCCTTGTTCCTGGTTCTCATGCTGCCCCTGCTGGAGGGTGAGTGCAGAGTCTGCTGGGGTCCTGGCATTTGATGCCTTCTGGCTGTGGGAGTGTGCTGGTATGAAGGATGAGGTTTGGAAAGGGACAGAACAGGGATGTGGGGGAGACTGGGAGCCAGGACTCCTGAGTTCTCTCCCCAGCTCTGGGAGGGGAGTGGGGTCAAGTGGGTTAGAGCAGGGGTGGCTGGGAGCCAGGACTCCTGGGTTCTATCCCCAGCTCTGGGAAAGGAATGGGTTTCTGTCCCTCACACCTTCAAGCCCATAAGGAATTACTCTCTCTGCAATAACTTGTGGCACTCCCTGCTGGAGGACTCTGCCCTCTGTGGGTTTCAAGAGGGAAAGGCCAGGGGTGGGGTTCTCAGCACTTACACTGGGCAGGAGGGGATGGAAGTGAGGGTAGGGGAAAGGGGAGATGATTTTTGGGGGCAGGGGGCAGGGCGAGGGCCTGTGGGAAGGGTAGGATGTGGGTGGCAAAGGAAGGGGAGATTGGTTTTGGGCTCAGGGGGCAGAGCGGGGATGGATAAGTGGGGTTGGGGTGGATGTGTGGGGCATGGGGCAGGGAAGAGCTCATCGAGGTTGAGCAGGGGATGCAAAACCATGACTGAGAGAATGGGCCCTTCCCCCATCACCCAGTAGGGGGAAGTTATGGGGCAGAGACCCTGGATTTAAGGTCTGGGCTGTCTGTGGGGAATCTCAGCCAGAGGGGAAAAGCCTGTAATAGACTATGTCCCCCTACATGCCCCACTTCCTGGGGGGTCAAACCCGAGGCCAGAGAACCATTCCCACTCCCATGGGAGGAGGTCGGGGACTCATGGGAGACATGGGGGCAGGCCATGGCTCCCAGGGGGGCTGGTGGAGTTGTGGGAAGAGGAATTTCTGGGATCTGCCTGTGAAAATCATGTGTGTGTGCATTCACTTGAGTACGTGGGCGCAGCGCTGCCCCCTGCTGGAGGGCTCAGAGCCATGTGCGGTTTTCACACCTCACTCATCCCTCTCTTTCTTTTCTAGGTGCTGAGGAGTTCCAGTCAAGTAAGGAATCTGGACACTTTCTGTCCCCAGCTCTGGGGGGAGTGGGGTCTGGTGGGTTAGAGCAGGGGGGGTGGGAGCCAGGACTCCTGGGTTCTATTCACACCCCTCCCCATCTTTCTCCCCAGCCTGTGGGCAGCCAGTGGCCTCCAGCCGTATCGTAGGAGGGCAGAATGCCCAGAACGGGGCTTGGCCCTGGCAGGCCAGCATACGATACCAAGGATTCCACATCTGCGGAGGGTCCCTCATCACAGGGGAATGGGTGGTGTCTGCGGCTCATTGCTTCAATCGGTGAGTACCCCCAGCCTGTTCCCTAGCTGTCCCACCCCAGAGGTGGCTGCATCTCAACGCTGGGCAGGGGCACCCCTGTGTGGTGTCGCTGTGCAGCTACAGCCCAGCTTTTAAACAATCCCCTGCAGGAACCCTTCAGTGTGCCAGACCCCCGTGGGACCCACTCTGCCTTCGGGCTCGGCCCCGTGGCCCCACCCCTTCCATGACTGAGCCGCTGGGCGCCGGGCCTCCTGCTTCAATTCCTGCGCTCTGCCCAGTGAGTCCAAGGGAGACAGAGCCCTGCTGGAGACTTGGCCAGTGCCCCTCAGCCAGGACCTGCAGTGACGTCAGGCAATGTTGTCAGACCAGGGTCTGGTTAATTAATCAACTGGACCACGACTCGGGGAAACCCTTAGGTTAGCCCAGAGAAACCACGGTGGAAATAGAGGCCATCTGGCCAAGCCAGCGCTCCCCAGCCTGCTCTGGGCTCCATTCAGCCGCTGTCTCTTGGGGTATGTTTACCCAATGAGAGACCCGTGGCACAGCCGCAGTTGGCCTGGGGCAGCTAGCCCGGGCTTGAACACTCGGCACCGCAGGGTTTTTTTAGTGCAGTGTAGACATATCTGTTGTGCCTCTCCCAGAGGTGAAAGTAAGCCAGTCCGGTCCAGTACAGTGTACCAGCAAGAGCCAGTATGCCGTGCCGGACCAGACCGGCTTCCCCAGGCTAGCGATTTAAAGAGCCCGGGGCTCCCTGCAGCGGCCGGCGCCCCTGGCCCTTTAAATCACCGCGGAACCCTGCCACCGCTACCCTCGGGAGGCGCTTTAAAGTACCAGGTAAATCACTGCCAGAGCCCCACTGCCGGAGCCCCGGGCCTTTAAATCTTGATTTTAAAGGCCCGGGTATTTAAAGGCCCCGCCTCTTCTGGTTGAGGCCACGCCCTCTGCTCAGGACTCCAGCGTCACCCCTGGCCTCTCCCAAACCTTGGCCAACCCTTTATCCCCCGGCTGTCAGCTCTCAGTCTGTTCTTCTCGGCTAGCTTCTGCTCAGATCCCTGCGGAGATGCGGAAGGAATCCACCTTCCTCAGGCTCGCTGGTTCCTAGATCTCAATCTTCTGGCTATTGCAGTTTTCATCCTCTTCTCAGATTCCCCATTGACATAGGGTTGTCCTTGGCTGGGCCTGCAATGACCCGCACAGTCCATGCCAGAAAGCAGTGTCACCCTTCTCCCCCATGTTTCTCCTGTGCTGCCCCATTGAGAGACTTAACCCTTTTACACCCAATGAGGAAACTGAAGCACATAGAGGACTCATAAAAATATTACAGAAAATTCCCACTTTACCACAGGCTGTGCCCCATCTACCCCACCCCAGCGGTGGCTACATCTCAGCCCCAGGCAAGCCATCCTATGTGATGTTACACGCAGCTGTTCCCCAGATGCCCCACCCCAGAGGTGGCTGCATTCCTGTTCTGTGGTAGCGAATATAATAACAAACTCCTGCCTAATGTCTCCCCCTCTCCTAGGAGTCTGCCTGTCACTGATTACTCTGTTTCCCTTGGGGAATTCCAGCTGCATATCCCGAGTGCAAACGCCTTCATCTCTGCTGTGTCACAGGTCATAATCCACAGCGACTACAACCCCAGCAGCTATGCCTCAGACATAGCCCTGGTGCTCCTAAGAACGCCCCTTCTCTACACCACCTACATCCTCCCCGTCTGCCTTCCTGACCGCAGCGATTCCATCGCGAATGGCACCCTGTGCTGGGTCACCGGCTGGGGGAATATCCAGACAAGTGGTAAGACACCTGGAGAGCCTGTGTGGGGTGGGGGTCCCCGACATGGGAGAAACCCTTGAGCCAGGGCTGTGTCTGCTACATGAGTCATGTCGCCATCTAGTGGCTGCAGCCCAAACCGGCAAATCAAAGCCCAACAGCTGCTGAAGAGTCGAGATCTTCCAATGGGAGACAGGATGAGGTGCGGGTTGGGGAGTGGGGTCTAGTGAGTTACAGCAGGGGGGCTGGGAGCCAAGACTCCTCATGTGCTTAAAAACTCCTATTCTCACCTGACCTACCTAGATGGGCCCAGATGGGGCACCTCCATCTCTGCAGGGGAACAGATAGTCAGGGACGATCCTGTCCCAGG